TAATGAACAAGGTGTTCCATCTAGTATGGTATATCTTGGTTGACTGATAATGAACAAGATGTTCCACCTAGCAGAATATATCTTGGTTGACTGATAATGAACAAGGTGTTCCATCTAGTATGGTCAGTCAACCAAGATATATAATGAACAAGATGTTCCATCTAGGAGGATCAGTCAACCAAGATATAATGATTCAAACTTTCATGTTGGGACTGACATGATTCAAACTTTCATGTTGGAACTGACATGATTCAAACTTTCATGTTGGGACTGACATGATTAAAACTTTCTCAAGTTAATAATTATTCTCGTTGAGATGAATTTGTAATTTTGATGAAGAAAACGAAGTTACTTATGGTAAATAAGTCTAACGGAAATGTAATTAACACTTAATTATCACTTAACAAAGTCACAAAGTTGTGAATTAAGTCACAAATGATGTTTGAAACATTTTAATTTTCATTCAGTGTGGAACGAACCATGAAATTAAATGAAAACGAAACAAGGAGTAAGGTCGTGTTTGTAACATTTTAATCTACATTCAGTGTGGAACGAACCATGAAATTAAAGGAAAACGAAACAAGGAGTAAGGTCGTGTCTGTAACATTTTAATCTACATTCAGTGTGGAACGAACCATGAAATTAAATGAAAACGAAACAAGGAGTAAGGTCATGTTTGTAACATTTTAATCTACATTCAGTGTAGAACGAACCATGAAATTAAAGGAAAACGAAACAAGGAGTAAGGTCATGTCTGTAACATTTTAATCTACATTCAATGTGGAACGAACCATGAAATTAAATGAAAACGAAACAAGGAGTAAGGTCATGTTTGTAACATTTTAATCTACATTCAGTGTAGAACGAACCATGAAATTAAATGAAAACGAAACAAGGAGTAAGGTCATGTCTGTAACATTTTAATCTACATTCAGTGTGGAACGAACCATGAAATTAAAGGAAAACGAAACAAGGAGTAAGGTCATGTTTGTAACATTTTAATCTACATTCAGTGTGGAACGAACCATGAAATTAAAGGAAAACGAAACAAGGAGTAAGGTCATGTTTGTAACATTTTGTTCTGAAGCGCGGTTTTGAATTCTTAAGTACTCGCAAAGTTGAGGAGATTTTTTTTACTCATCAGTAAACCAATATCCTCCAAAATGGAATGTCTTGCTGTTTATGATTAGTAAACCAAGCTATACCCTCCTAGATGGAACATCTTGTTCATTAATGTTGGGAACTGACCGACATGATTCAAACTTTCTGATTCAAACTTTCATGTTGGGACTTTTATTCTGTTCATGAAGAAGATACGTCTACACTGTTGTAAGAACGAAGTGTTTCTGTTATTCTGTTCATGAAGAAGGTACGCCTACACTGTTGTAAGAACGAAGAGTTTCTGTAATTTGTCCACAAAGAAGATACGTCTACACTGTTATAAGAACGAAGTGTTTTTGTTATTCTGTTCATGAAGAAGATACGCCTACACTGTTGTAAGAACGAAGTGTTTCTTTCATTCTGTTCATGAAGAAGATACGTCTACACTGTTGTAAGAACGAAGTGTTTCTGCCATTCTGTTCATGAAGAACATACACCTACACTGTTGTAAGAACGAAGTGTTTCTGTCATTCTGTTCATGAAGAAGATACGATATTTCCTTCGTTATTTCTAGAGGGAAAATTATAGCTGTGTTTGGGTTCAATAATGTATATATTGCTTCTTCTGTACTATATTTAGAAGTTTAATTGGTACAGATGTGGGAGACCTGAGGTTATTATGTTGATTATAATGATGTTTCGTTCTCAATAGTTGATAAACCTTTCATTTAATTAGTTCATAACAACTATATTTGTCCAGATGATTTCCAGCTCAGTACCGAGTTGAACCTCTCGGGTTACCCTACATCAAGTCCGCTCACCAGCTGGTCGGCAGGTGATCAAAGACTGTTGTTGCCGGTAGCTATCACCAGGAGGTGAGTAAACCACCACCTGTGGTGGACGTGATCTATTTCATGCTAAAAATATTTTATAAAAAGTCATCCATGGAAAGTTCATGTATATAGTTATTCTATGGTGTCTTTAGAGTACATTGTTTGTGTACTGCATGGACATCAGTCACAATTCTCTTTCATCTGTTGTTGGTTTTAGTATTACTCAGTTTATACAAGATCAAGATAATTTTACTGAATTATAGTCTAATAATATTACTCAGTTGAAACAAGATCGTTTTACTGTATCGTAGCCTGATATTAATGTTATATAAGTAACTTATGCACATAGAAATATTATCATTTAAATACACCAGTTGACAATTTTAGGAAAAACTATTTTTATTAACAATTACGGTAGGGTAACACTTTTTATTAAAAATATTGAATTCGGTGATCCGTGTAAGATGCATATCCTAGCTGTTTTCTGTTATAGATCTTAGCCTAGTTTTCTTAAGTTTGCAATGCTTTGCTAAGTGTAACATGTTTTAAATGTTCCCCACAGTTCTCACCCGGTTGCCAACGGGTCACATCAGCTTTCCGCTACCCCACCACCTTCGTCTAACTCGCCGCATCAAGTGAGAATCAAAATGGAGCCTGTCTCTCCCTCTCGTGATATCTCTCACTTGAGACCTTCCTCAATACCAGAACACTTTCTACTGGGGGAACATCTGAGGGAGCATCTTCCAAGGTCATCTCCTGGCTGTAGAGAGCTCGAATTGAAACGGTCACGTCTTTCCGTAGACGTGTGGGCTACATAGTTCTTAAGAAAATACTCTAATGGCCAAACGCAAGAGGTACTGACCACTCTTGAGTCTGCAGCAATTTTCCATTGTTAGCGGTAACCTTGATGACCAAAATAAGCGGCTGTAATTAACGAAGAAGTTTGTTGTTGTTTTTTTGGTGGCGGTAATTCACTAGATAGTTGTTAAAACTAGCTAGTAAATCAACATTAATTTGAAGACGCTTGTTAGGTAATCATAAACAGGTCTGGTGTATTAGATACTAACTGTTTGAAAACAGTATTGTATCTTATGTAATGCTTGAAAAATACAGAAGACAAAATGTCCATAGTGATTCTACCGGTATGTGTTAATCAGTATCTTTAATGTCACAGTAGTGTCTGATTTACGAAACGAAAGAGAAAAAAAAGTGACAATTTTTTTTCGAAACTCTGAGAAAGTGGCGTCAAGGTCACTTGCACCGAATGAAGGTCAAAGTGTTTATGCTCTGAATCCAACTGCTTAGCCAGTGATGCTGACTGAAAGGAACGTCTGGAAAACCAAACGTTTTAACTAAGTTTGTTGATTTTTCTGTTAAACAGAAAATAATGTTGTGTATTAGTCGATTATAAAGTTAACCACGTGATTCATGTGTAAATTAAAAATGATTCTAGAGTGACTAATATATTTAAAAGTGTATGAAAGAAGAAAAATGCCTTATTGATTAACATCTCGTTATTTAGTTTCAGATGGCACTGTTGTGTAAAGATGGCACGTGAGTGTAAAGATGGCACGTATGTGTATTTATTCATATCACGTATGTTTATGCATGTTAGTATACAAAACATTGTACTGGGTTTCGATTCTCACTTTATTAAGACGTATTTCGGATCGTCTTTTATTTTTGTTAAAGAGTTATAGCACTTAACGGAAGGTCTCTGGGACGGTGACCTGTGATAAACATAATATTAACATTTGCTGATAACTGTTTGTGCAGTTGTTTGTTTAGTGCACGAGCTTGTAAGCCATACGAAAATAAAAACATAAAACAATTAGTTAGAAATATAAAGTAGTATATGCATGTTGGAACTGACCGTTCAGAGTATACTGTATATACTAAAGTTCAGAGTATACTGTATGTACTAGCAGTTCAGAGTATACTGTATGTACTAGCAGTTCAGAGTATACTGTATGTACTAAAGTACAGAGTATACTGTATGTACTAAAGTTCAGAGTATACTGTATGTACTAGCAGTTCAGAGTATACTGTATGTACTAAAGTACAGAGTATACTGTATGTACTAAAGTTCAGAGTATACTGTATGTACTAAAGTTCAGAGTATACTGTATATACTAAAGTTCAGAGTATACTGTATGTACTAGCAGCTCAGTGTATACTGTATGTACTAGCAGTTCAGAGTATACTGTACGTTTAGCTTTTCACTAAAACAGCAATAGTCTCTTTAAGAAAGAAACTTTGGCCATCAGTAAATAACGTTTAATATATATCTTCTTTGTGGGCAATTCCAAACCCACAAATATGAAAGTATTTTTAATTACTCTCAAGTAAATGTGACTCCATTATTGTACAAAGTATCAGATAAATAACTAATGACCCTTGCGAAAATTAATACTCCCGCCCATGGCTGTTCGGAAATAAGTAATAGGTTTTTCTACTATTCAGACCGTAAAAAAGAATCGTTAGTCAGCGCTATTATTAGATTAAATGTTTCTGTAATTTGTCCACGAAGAAGATACGTCTACACTGTTGTAAGAACGAAGTGTTTCTGTTATTCTGTTCATGAAGAAGGTACGCCTACACTGTTGTAACAACGAAATGTTTCTGTTATTCTGTTCATGAAGAAGGTACGCCTACACTGTTGTAAGAACGAAGAGTTTCTGTAATTTGTCCACAAAGGACATACGCCTACACTGTTGTAACAACGAAATGTTTCTGTTATTCTGTTCATGAAGAAGATACGCCTACACTGTTGTAAGAACGAAGTGTTTCTTTAGTACATACAGTATACTCTGAAC